GCCCTCCCAAACTCAGCCTTCCTCTCCCGTGCTCCAGGCGCCTCGTTTTGTTTAGTCTTGCAAACCATCATCACAGCCTATAATTAGCCAAAGCAGCCCTGCTGTAATCCCAGCCTGAAGAGGCATCCAAAGGGCAGCAGGCAGCGAGTGCCGGGCCCAGCAGTGGCTCCACAAACCCACAGTGGGATGTGCAGAGGTATTGACTCTGCAGCCCCACTCCCGGGGTGCTGTGGGGGTCCCATGGCCTTGAGTTGGCTGCAGCCACCCTGGTCCTACAGAGCAGTGTATGGACTGGGCCAGCTCATTCATGGCCCCTTGCGAAGGGGCAGCAGGAGGAGGGAAGATGTCAGTGCCAGGGATGGGGCCACATCCATCTCTCCCTGGGCAGAAGCTCATGTGTTGGCAGCAAAGATGGAGTAAGGGGCCAGTGTTGTGGTGCTGAGACAAGGCATTCAGCCAGGGGAAGAGTTCTCCTCCTGCCTTAACACCTCCAGCAAGCACATTTTTTGAAGTAGATTCTGGCTCAGCACAATCCCCTGTGATGGCAGGGTCTTGCCTTACCCTCTCTCTGTTCCCCAGTGCACAAAAACCTGTGGAATTGGTGTAAGGATGCGGGATGTGAAGTGCTACCAAGGGAAGGACATCGTCCGGGGCTGCGACCCGCTGGTGAAGCCGGTGGGCAAACAGACCTGTGACCTGCAGCCCTGCCCCACAGAGCCCCCAGGTGAGCCCCACTGCTGGCAGTGGGCTTGATTTTCCATGGATCCCCCCAGGCAGCACTGCCAGCATCTTAGCTTCCACTGCCCCCAGTTGGATAATCATCCCAGAGAGGATATACGGGGGCAACTCTCCCTCTGTGCCCAAGTAATGGGGTGCATTGGCTATTTCTGGAGGTAACCCCATTAAATTAAGGAGAGAGTTCAGAAGAAGCATGTCCTTACCTAAAGATAAAATGGATCTTTGAGAGCTGACTCGGGTGCTGTTTCTATGTGATTCCAGCTTAAGCCTAGGAAGTTTCATCTGTGCCATTATTTTAATGATTTTTGGTCTCCGAATGTCCTGTGGGATCTGTAACTATCTCGTTATCTGACTCGTCTGCTGGCTCAAAGTCCCTGTGATCTTTAGCAAACATGTGGTTCTAATCCTTTAATAGGATTTGGGAATAAGGACGATGTGGGAGAAAAGCATGAAAATGGGAGACAGATTTGGGGCTGGCTCCTGGCTCAGGTCTGGCCTTGCTGGGTGCTCTCAGCTGCCCTCTCCCTTGGGATCAGGACGGGACATGGAGCTTGTGAGGTGTCTTGTGGCCACCTTGTATTCAACTGTCTGCCTGGTGACCAGCCTGGTTTCATGCATCCTATGGATTTTAAGAAAAAAATATATAGATATATATGAAAGTGGAAATCCTGTGGGTTTGAAGCAAAATATTGCTCTGAAAGGAGCTGGGAGAGTACTGAAGCGACCTCTGGCCTCTTTCCTGTCCCCAGCATCTCACTTGCCCTTAACTCTGGCTGTGGCACTGCTGGATTCCCTTTCTCAAATTGCCTCCTTGGGGCAGAAATTGTGAATATGTTGGAGTCACCCTGTGCCCTACCAGGGGAGGCCCTTGGCTTGGGGGCAGCTCAGTGCCAGGCTCCCTTGGTGGCTCCAGCAATCCCTGGGCAGCTGCGTTTCACAAGAAAGAGCTTGAGCTTCAGGGCTGGGACCAAATGAGGCTCCCCAAGCCAGGCCTGGTGTGATTGAATGGGTCAGCCTTCTTGCTCAGGTTGAGAAGCTCCATGGTGTTTTCTGGGGGATGCTGGAAGGTATCAGGGAGGTGGCAGTTGCAGCCAGGGATGATGTGTCGCTCAGCCCGTGGTGTTCAGGGCAGCTGTGCAGGGGGAAAAATGAGCTCGTGAGCTTGCAATGGCTTATTTTTCATTTCTTTTCCTCATCATGCCTTTTGTGCTCTCTCCCCCAGACGACAGCTGCCAGGACCAGGCAGGAACCAACTGTGCTTTGGCCATCAAAGTGAACCTGTGCAGCCACTGGTACTACAGCAAAGCCTGCTGCCGCTCCTGCCGCGCGCCCCACTCCTAGTGCCGGCAGCACCTCCCTTAGCGAGGGCTCCGTGTTCCATTTAGCCACACATCCCACAGACTGGTGATCAGGATGCGTTTGGGTTGTTTTTTTTATTTCCCCACTGATGCACAACTTCTCTCCTCGTCCCTCTCCCGGGGCGGTGCCGGCGCGACTCAGCGCAGAGCCCGTTGGGAGTCCCCGCTATCAGAGCTGTACATAAAGTCGTGTATATTTGATTCCCCCCAACTGCAGGTACATCCATGTGTTTTTTCACAAGGTCTGGTCCTTTGGTCTCTTCCCTCTGTGCAAGTTTGGGGTTGGTGAGGGGAAGGTGTGAACTCGGGGAAGTGCAAATTTCCCTCCGCCAAGGGGATTAGTGCCTCTCTCCTAATTTATCCCAAGACCTGCACACTCTTGTTAGCTGCATTTAATGTGGTGGGAAGCTGATTCTCATTTGCTAAATGAACTCAAGCCCTTCTTTGTAATATGTAGGTGTATACTTTTTCAGAGAATTTTATCTTATAATCAAATGTTAGTTCCATAGTCCTTACAACCCCCCCCGATGCTGACATATTGTATATAATATGGAAACATAACTGCACTTTATATCACAAAAAAGACGTGCTCTTTTTTAATATATTTGTTTACAGACAGTGAACTTTATCCATATAATCATTAATTTGTACTCATATGTATATTTTAATAAAGTTGTCATATTTATGGTGGTATTTTGTTTTATTCTCCAGTTTGTAGTGGGGTATTGGGAACACTGGAGTCAGGGCCATGAACTTGCTGGTGCCCAGGGGAAGCAGAGCAGCTTGAACTCAGGGGAATCATGGCTGTTTGGACAGTGATGCAAGGAAAAGTCCCAGCAGTGGGGGGATTTTGGGACCATTGCTTTGAGTTGCTTTAGGACTGTGTGTGTGTGGCTTTGGGAACTGCAACCCTGAAGCTCTTCACGAGTTTCTGAGCAAAGAGACTTGATAGGGTGCCAGTAAGAAAAGGGCCTTTCTGTGCTCCCAAGGGGGTTGTTGCTCTGTGTTTCTCCAAGTGTGACCCTCCAATGCCAGGCTAAAGGCTCACCACCCACACTGCTGCTGCATTGCTCCCCTCAGCAGTAGGGAGCTCCTGTGTCCACATGAGGGCTTTGCAAACACTACCCCCATGTTTGCAGGTGCAGGGACAAAAAAAAAAAGCCTCAAAACCCATGTCAAAGTAGTTTATTTTTTTTTTAAATTTTATTTTATTTCTTTTTTTACTTTCCCCCCCTCCCCGAGATCCCCAAAGTCCTGTACAACAGATCACCAGGTGAAGGTTAGTGAAAGCCAACCGTCTGCTTAGTTTCCAAGCTACAAGGGAAAGAAATGAGGGAAAAAAAGGAAGGAAGGCTGGGAGGAGAAGTACGGTCACGAGAAACGGGGAGAGAAAGGGCTCAAGGCGTGGAAACAAACCCCGGTGAGAACTGTACATGGGAGCATGGCCCGAGTGGCTGCATCCCTCTGGAGCAGAGGCATCGTGCTCCTGGGATGCAGCACCTCAGGGACCGAGCCCAGAATATTAAACACGTACGAAACCAACCCCAGCCCCCTCCCCCCCAAAACCCAAACAGAACCCCCCCGAGAAAGTCGAAGACACTCATTTGCAAAGACTGACTTGTACTTCAAAAGATTTCCTGTGGAATTAAAAGCCCTCGTGGTTAAAAGTAAAGTACCCAGCTGGGCTGCAGCACAGTGTCTGTGAGCCGATGGGGCTGGAGCCATGGCTGCTTCTTCCCGTAACATCTTGAAAAAGGAAAGCTGACCCAGAGCACAGCACTGGGGCCACTGGAGTCTCTGTGCAGCCAGTCCATCCTCTGCCAGCCACCCCCAGGTCCAGCGTGATGCTTTTAACCTGAATAATGTATAATCCAGGAGAAACAGGGTGCTTTTTGTCACACAAACTGGGAGTATGGCGAGGTTGGAGGGGAGGAATGGAGACAGCCAGGAGAGACTGGAGCGTGAGTCCCCCTCTAGACGTTGCTGCAACGTGCAATTCCTCTCCTAAAGCACTGAAATACTAAAAGGGTTCCTTTACAGCATGCTTGGTGCAGAGGGACACTCTGTGACCATCTCTGTGCCTGCTGCTCTCCCAGCACTGCCCTGACCAGATCCAGCGTGGCTGGAGGAGCAGGGACAGAGCTGGTGACACAGCCAGGCTGCCCGGCCGTGGGAAAGGGCTCAATGAAAAATGCTAAAGAGGAGGTTTTACCTAAATCTAAAGTGTTTTGACACATCTCTGGATGGGTGAAAAGCATCATGGATTTTTAAAAAATTAAAAAAGACAAATAAATGCATCTAAATATGTGCATGCTTGGGGTGGGCACATACGTGATGACACAGAGCCTCAGTTAGAAGTTGTTTATGGCATTACTCAGAGAAGGGATGGATTATTCAGAGAAGTATTCCTCAATCCAAAAGTGTGCTGTGTGTTATTCCCATAGCCAGGCAACACAATGGGTTTGCACCCTCCATCAGGGAACTGTGAGGTCACTCCAGGATCTCCAGGGGCAGGGATAGGCTGTGCATGCACCCGCCATCCCAGCCCTGAAGGGATTGTGCCTGTCACTCGAGAATTAATGGCTGATTTGAGGAGCGAGGTGGCCTGGGAATAGTGCAGGGCTGTGCACACACACACATGCACACTCCCATGGCTGCAGTACAGAGCGCTGCAGGAAGGGGTGGCAGAAGGGTGGGCAATAGCAGCTCTGCTTTGCTTGAGAACCTTTGAGGGTGTGTGTGTGTGCACATGTGTGTGCACATGTGTGTGCACATCAGGGCCCCCACATCACGGCAGCAGCTGGCTGCTGACTCGCAGCACGAGCCATTCTGCAGCCAACCCTGTGCCCCACTATTTGCTCACCGTCCCTCGGCATTCCAGGTGAGGAGAGGTGGGTACTCCGTAGAAAAGGATGCTCCAAGTATCAAAATCCTCTTTACAAAAGAAAAACAAAAAACGCAACGCAGCGCTAGAAAACCTCACGTCCCAGCTGCAACCATCCTCCCCCACGCTCCCCTTTCGGGTGCGCTTCGCTACCCCTTCACGCTGCCGTTCAGCCCTGGTAGAAATACATTCACTTCTTTTCCTTTTTTTTTCTTTTTCAGAACTCTTCCACGAACTCCACGGAGTTCTCCCCGCCGTTCAGAGCCCCGGCAGGTGCGAGGAGGCGCGATGGGACGCCGGCCCCTCACACGCCGGCCCCTCACACGTCGGTGCTGATGCTGCGGCTGCGGGAGAAGGCCTCGCGCATGGCCGAGAGCCGGTTGGGGTTGAGAGCCTGCAGGCTGGACACGCTCACCGGCAGAGCCAGATCCTCCTGGCTCACCGTCTTGTAGCTCACCCGGTCGCCCCCGTTGTGCAGCTCCTCGGGGGGCTCCTGAAGGAAGAAGGTGGGGGCTCGTAGGGGGGGCTCGTAGGGGCGCAGCCGGGCAGCTGGACCGGGTTCGGGTCGGCTTCTTGGTGAAGGGGGACGAGGTGTAGAGGGACGGGCCGTTGGTCAGCACTATGTTGCGGTTGCAGTGGAGCGGCGGGATGTGGGAGTGCACGGCGAAGTCGGGCTCCTCCTCGTCCTCCTCGGATTCATCCTTCTTGCAGCAGTAATACTGAAACGGGATGGCTCAGCTGGCACCCCAAACCCCCCGCCCTGTCCCTGAGGGGCTGCTCCGTGCATGCCAGCCCTGAGGACCAGTGGACTCCCCTCTCTGCTGCGGCACCCTTTAGGGTCGCGTCCCCCAGCCTTACCTGGAGCCTACAGTAGCAGAGGACGGCGATGATACATAGCAAAATGACAGTCGCTAATATTCCACCTGTGATGACCACGGTCCCGGCTGTCATCCGCCCTCTTCTCCATTAACAGCCTGCAAAAGCGAGTGCACGGGGTGATAGGGTGAGGCTGCTGATGGGCTGGGCTGTAGAGCCCCAAACCCTGCTCTCACCCTCATCTGCAGGGGGACAGAAACCAGGAGATGGGAGGTGACAGGCAGGATAAGGCCAGAGCCTGGCACTGGGCACCTGTGCAAGTCATCAGGGAGTCCCCTTCTCCCCTAAATGCCACCTTGCATGTGCAGGGGGGAAAAGAATCCTCATGAAGTGGGTGAGAGTTTGAGTGAGAAGCAGCTCTGGGGTCACATGGGGCTCTTCTGCACACAGGAGGGGGGACCCAAGGGAAGTAAAACCTTCTGACCCAGGTTCATGGCACCCTCCCGGCTCCTGCCTGGTGGCAGAGAGCTTTGGTGATGGGAGAAGGAGCTTTGCAATAAGGATTTCTGAGCTGTACACATTTTTCTCTGAGCCTATAATCCATTTCCCCCATGAAAACAATGTGATATTTTAATTTGGAATGACTGGAGCTGCTAAGTGAGCCCTTAATGACTGCAGGGACAGGCATGCTCCCCTCCCTGAGCAGCAAGCTTAGGAACAGGATGTGTCTGAGGCACCAAGCTCCTCCACTTCACGAAGCCAGTGTTGGGGAGCTGTTGGGGGCACCCCAGGATGATGTTTTTGACAACCCTGGGTGAGCTGTTCACTCACAAATGCTGTGGCTGGGACACAGCGCACTGACCATCATAGAGGTGCTGTGGTTCAGCTTGGTCCTGTGCATGCACTTTGGGGTACCACCAGCACCCTTCTCTGCCTGGAATGCCCCTTAGAGGAATCTGGGAGGAATCTGCTGACGCAGCACTGGTAGCAGTGGAAGATCCCTGCTGCTGGCACTGCTGGATTCACTTAGAGGGTGGACGTTGTTCATCACGTGCAGCACGAGCCCCACAACGCCAACATGGTCTTGCTCTGAGCATCCCTTCCCTGAGAGCTCATGGGAGGGTTTGAATTCCTCTCCATCCCATGCAGGATAAGACACAGCTCTTTGCCACAGGAAGGATGCTGGGGAGACGTGTACCTGCCTGCTCACACCTGCCAGGGGCTCTGGAGACAGCGGCACTAACACTGGCACGGCTAAAGCCCTTTAGTGCTGCAAGTGTTGGGCTGGGAACAGGAGAAGAGACATAAATTAAGAGAGAAATCAAACCCTGACCACCTACTCTTCAAGTGCTTTAGCAAAGCTGGCCTCCAGTTCATGCTATCAGGTTAAACCAAAAAACCAGCCACCCCAACTCCAAATTACTTCAGCACCCGAGGAAAAGCAACTGTATCTGTCAGGGATTTAACCTGCTTCCAAAGAAAATAAATCCCTGCCATATTTTCAGGCGCTTAATGTCCTGCTAAAGTTGGGTGAGTGCTGAATGGATAAAGCAGTGTCACGTTTTATGTTGCTGCCGAGGAGGAGGGAAGGGAGGAGGGAGGAGGGAAGGGAATTTATACCAATGGCTGAACGGCTTCTCACACCGAGCGGCCACAGGGCAAGTGCCGGGCCAAATCCTGCCCTCATTCCTTGGGCAAAATGCTCTGAGGAGGCTCAGGAGGAGCAACACAGCCATGGGAAAGGTCTGGAAACAGCACATTAGTGATTTAGAAACTCTGGTTCCTTGGGATGCAGCGGGTACTGGCTAGAAATGCCCATCTCTGGGTCCTTTGCTGCTCCCATTTGCAATCCCCCTGCTGTCCTGGAGCCAAGGGCAGGGTGTGTGGGGTTGGCATAGGACCTGGCTCTGGGGTGCAGACTCAGCCCTGCAGCCTCTCAGGGACTGGCATTGCACCCATCAGAGGGGATCATCATCTCCTTGCCAGCCCACTATGGGAGGTGGCAGGCAGGGCTCTGCCAGGGAATGCTCCACGGCTTTCCCACCCATTAATTAAACGCCGGGGGCACAAGTGAGGGTTACACAGAGCCAATTTTCATGGCTCTTGCCCAGCCGTGCCCAGCCAGACGTGGCATCACAGCCACTGCTCCCTCCAGAGCAAGACCATTTGCATTTCACCCTTTTTTTCCTCCCAAGACATACTTCTCTGATTAAAGCTGCGTACCTGGAAGCATTAAGCCCTCCAGCATGTAAAGGGGGAGGAAAGCAGAGCATGCAGAGGCCCATAAGCTGAACAATTCCTGTCTAGACCTTCCTTTTACATTTGTTCCTAATTTCACGCTCCACGGGCTCTCAGATTCATATATTTAGCAATAAATATCCTGGTAAAAGGAAGTGCTTTGCAGCTCTGCTGTGGTCTTGGAGGAGGTATGCAGGAGCCCTGGTACTGGGAACGCAGGCATGAGAGATGCAGTCCCAGAAGACACTCACTTGGCTCCTTCCTTGCCCCTCAGTAACACTAGGAGCCCTCCAGATACCGAGGATGCCTGAAGCCCCCCCAGTCCCCCACCCCATCCGAATCCAACCCCTAGCACATCCTCCATCACTGCCAGACAGCGGCTTCAGGAGCATTTTAACTCCACACAGGCTATTTGCTGCCAGCCCAGGAGCCTTTTGCTGTAGGAACACGGTCCCCAGTGTTGTGGGGTGACAGGGGATGGTGGCCCTTGGGGTTACTGGGAGCCACTGTGCTCGTGTGGGCACACAAGGTTTGGAAGCAAGACTTCCCCCTTCCCTGGCTTTACCTTCCCAGAGTGCAAAGAACAGGCTGTGCTGCCACAAACCAAAGGCACTGTACGGTTGCTACAGGCTGCTCCTGCATGAGCTGTTTGCTTTTGGTCACAATCCTGTGCCACATGCTTGCTTTTGCCTGCAGGTCCTTCAAGACCCTGCCATGGCTGAGGTCGTGGTTTTGAGGTTGAAATCTTCACTAAGGGCCAGGTCTGCATCAGCTTCTGCTCTCCCCAGGGGCTGGAGGGGGACAGGGGAGGCTTCTCATGAGCAACAGAGAATGGGACTTGATAATGCAGAGGGGGAAAAGGGGTGGGATGAGAAATCATCCGAAGTCACCCCCCCAGCATCTTGAACACGGCCCCTGGACCACTGAGGATGCCCAGTGCAGGGAGAGGCTGCTCACAGCTGTGCCTGGCTCCTGCAGAGAGCTCTGTGCATCCAGTGCCTCTGGGGAGGGGCTGCGTGGGAGGAAGGCTCTGGAGCAGCTGGGGGGGCTGAGCTCAGCCCGTCCGAAGGCTCCAGCTAATACCCGGCTAAACCACGGCTCCGAAATGCTGAGCTCCAGGTCCAGGTGCTGGAGTGCTCCAAGCACGGCTGGATCATGTGGACTGGCCTGACCCTGCCTGCTGAAGCTGTGGGAGGAGACCTGGGGATAGAAAAGGACACAGCTCCAAGGGTTTTTTAAGAGACCCTTAAGCACCCAGTTAAGCCAACTTCTAGGATTTACAGGTATTAACCACAATCTTTAGGACAGACCCTTAACTGAATGGGGCTTCTACCTAACCCACCCCATCCCATCCCATCCCACCCCTACTCTGATCCCCAAGGCGACACAGTCACTCCCAAGCCTATCTGGAAACACTGCCGTGGCAAGCACTAAAATAAGGGAATGCTGGTCCCACTGAAGTTGTACCTGCACAAGGAGTCTGTGTCTGACCTGCAAAGAGCTGTAGTCCACAACTTGTTGGGCCCTAGTGCTGCCTGCATCCCCCAGCAGATCTGGGACCTGCTTCCTCTGCAGCCAGAAGCACCACAGCCCTCTATTTAATATGGAATTTGGGAATTGCCCTTATTCACCTGACTCCAGGAGCTGGAGATTTAAACAAAATAGCCAAACTGGGTAGGAAATGACAACTGGCAGCACAGACAGCAGTGCTGGCAGGATTGCTCCTGTCTGGTACCCAGCACTGGAGCAGACAGGAGCTTAGATCCCACCATAATAAACACACAGGGATGAACAGACAGCCAGAGACACCCCACACTCGGGGGACACTCAGTCCAAACCTCAGCATGAGACCTCAGTCCTCATCCTTGCTGTTCTGCTGCTCATAAGGGTGGTCCCATGCAGGGGGGTGAGGATCAGCTCTGCCCTGCACTTCCAAACAACCAGGATGGAAAAAGGGGAGAAAAAGGCAAAAAACCCATTCCACCCTTTGCAGGGAGCAGAGGAGGCCAGCGCCGTGTCCTGAAGTAACACCATCCTGCCTCTCTTGGCTCTGCTCAGCACGAGCACATCCCTGGCTCTGCTGTGTGCTTGGACAAGCTGATGTGTGTGGGTGTCCTCCAGCACCCGGGGGGGCCTCTGAGGGGGGGAGCGACCCTGTGTCCTGACACAGCCCCCCAGGCTGACCCTCATCCAAGTGTCATCTGGTGGGGGATCAGCTCGTTGGGTCGCTCCGGGGAGAAGACCCAAGGGAGAGACCTCAAGAGAGGGATGATCAGGTTGGGAAGATTAAGTCCTGTGTGGAAACTGGGAGTAGAGCAGCTGTGCAGGGGGAAGCACAAATCTGACCCTCCGTGGTGGAGGGTCATGAGCTCTGCAGGTCTTGCCCTGGGGTGGGCAATGCAGCCATTTCCCAGCTCATCCACACGCAACAAAACCTGATACCAGCGCTTCTGACCAAGCCCCACTTCAGAAGAAAGGAAAAGAGCTCAGTAAGAGGCCAGGGAAATGTGAGAGCATGTGAATGATGCTGGTTGTCCAAGATATCCTTTCCCCAAGCTGCTGAGCCTCGCTGTTTTCTGCCTCAGAGCTGGGTGCAGGCAGCATTTGGGACCCAGAACCTTAGCCCAGAGTAACAAGAAATCCCCCTGTAATAAACTGTCCAGGGCAGGGCAGGACTGAATCCGAGCACTTGATGACGTAAAGTTTAAGGTGAGCCTGGCAACTCCTGTTGCCCCCATCAGTGCCATGTAAGTGTCACAGCTCTGCCCGTGGACAAACCCTGGAGAACATCAGCGTGAAGGAAAGTCACTTCCAGCGGCCCTGGGAAGTGGGAAAGCAGCAAATAAACCAGGAGCCAAACCGGTTTGGTGGCAAATACAGCCTCACTTCTGCATTTCCCCCAGTTCCTGTAATCCTACCCAGTCAATGAATAAGAGCTGGGCTCTGGG